TTTAACTCCTCGTAGTTAAAAGACTGCAGGCTGACTATGTCTCCAGTTTGAGAGTTGATATTCACCATTGCAGATGACAGCAGTGTGTTACTTTTACTTTGTAAAAATGAATAGCTCACCTCACTATTCTGACCAGTATCGGCATCCGTTGCAGTTACTCGTGTCACCACTGTTCCTGTGGCACTGTTCTCTTTCATATACACGTTAACTGTTGACTCTGGAAACGACGGTGCGTTATCATTCACATCAGAAAGACGTATAGAAAGTACACTTGTGCTGGAGAGAGGCGGGCTTCCTTTATCACTGCCAATAATAGTGACGTTGTAGTTTGAAACTCTCTCCCTGTCTAGGAGTCCATCAACTAACAAAGAGTAATAATTTTTGTAGTTTGTTTCCAGTTTGAATGGAACCCCTTTTTGAATCTGGACATTGACGTCCCCATTTTTCCCGCCATCTTTATCAATTACTGACACAAGTGCCACTGCCGTACCTTTAATTGCATCTTCCTTCACTGTATTATGTAATGACGTCACCGTGATTTCAGGAGCATTGTCATTCAGGTCCACTACCTCTACTAAAACCTTGCAATGTGTGGACATTGGAGGCAGCCCCTTGTCACTGGCTTCAACACGTATCTCGAAAGCCTTCCTCTCTTCAAAGTCTATTTTTCCCTTGACTTTAATCACCCCCGTGTGTGGTTCAATTTCAAAGATATCAAGTACATGATCTTGGTCTTTGCTTCTCAAAGAGTAAACTATCTCACTGTTCAGGCCCTCATCTGCATCGGTGGCGTTCACAGCGATTACTGTTGCGCCTAATGGTGTGTTTTCGGTTATTTTCGCTTTATAAAGGGACTCACTGAAGATTGGAATATTATCGTTAATATCTAACACTGTAATAACGAGTTGTGATGTTCCCGATTTAGCTGGATTTCCCCCGTCTACCGCGATCAGTGTCATTGTTATCACAGGCTGCTTTTCTCGATCTAAGGCTTTTTGCAGCACTAACTCAGCGGACACACTGTCACCTACTTTGTGCACTGCCAAAGAAAAATGCTCGTCCTGGCTTAATTTATAAGTACTAATCCCATTTCTACCCACATCTGCATCAGTTGCTTCAGATAATGCAAATTTCACACCCGGTAAAGTAGACTCTGCTATGTACAAATGTTGCTCCTTGGTGGTAAACAGCGGAGCATTGTCGTTGACATCTAAAATCTCCACATCAATGCGATAAAGCTTCAAAGGGTTGTTTATTACAGCTTCTACGCTGACTGGGCATTTAATTTCCTCGGAGCATAGCTCCTCTCTGTCTATTCTCTCAGTGACATAGAGAACACCAGTCTTCCGATTTACCTCGAAGAAATTCTTTTTTGATCCAGTAACAATCTGAAACGAACGGGACTCCAACTGGTGTGTATTCAGATTTAAGTCCTTTGCAATATTTCCTACTGGAGTGCCGGGGTTTACCTCCTCGGAGATGGAATAGGAGAGCTGGCCAGCCGCCGTTTTCAAGCAACATTGTAGTAGGAAAAGCCACAAATATGTCCTTGAATTGCTCCATCTACAATCCAGAGACATTTTATCCAAAAAACATGAATTGCTTTCAAGCCCAGATATATTTTATGTCCAGGGTAGAAGATATTAACCAAATTAGGCTTTCTGGTAGTAATATTCCGTCTGTTGTCCAACCATCCTCCGTATGTTCTATAACAAAGACTAAGGAGGTGATGTTGGAGCCTGAAAACGGGAGGGGCCTAGTTTAGTCAAAGAGCAGAACTGTCCCAGATGGAGTAACAACGACACCGTGTGGGGAAACATTCAATGTGCAGGAAAGCAGCGGATATATCATTGTAACCCCTCAGTAGTAATCAGGCCACAGCAAAAATACGCATAATGTGCATTTGGAGAGCTCAGCTGACTCGAGGGAGCTGGTGGGTCTTTTTCAGAACCGTGGACAGCGCACAGGAGAGCGTGTCATGATGTATACTGACTCCTTTGTTGTAATGGGTTTCACATGCAGGTCTTTCCAAATTCTAATTCTTGGAATATTCACTTGGTTGAGATTGTAAATAGCAGAATTGTGTGGACTCTTGCAAGGTGTTTCCTTTAGTGAAACTAGAATGCTAGAATAGAATTGAAAGAAATTCCAACATTTGTTCCTTGTACTTGTGAATACATGTATTGGCAGCAGTTTATAGAATGCATTGCTGAATAAAGTAAATTTGAATTAACCTCACTGTTCAGCAGCAGACAGAAACTATGAGGAAATATGAGATCTAAATCCCTCTTTTTTCTGCTCTTTTTCTACTTATCCACACAGACAGGAGTCACGCGCTCATAACCACTCCCTCGTTTGTAATCCCAGGATTAAGGCCCGGATTCAGAAAGTCATGTCCTATTTCCATTCAGAAGAAAACATGATTTAATTTTAGAATATTAATAACCATCTCACAGCTAGAGCCATCTGTAAACTCCCAAATGCAATAACAATAATGCCT